TATGTGACCCAAAACTTGTCGTTGCTCTTTCTGGCATTGCCATTTTTTTCTCCTTTTTCGCTTGATGAAGCAGCAATAAAAAATCATATTTAATGGGGAACAACAACATCTCGGCTGGCCGCAGGAGGTTCAGGAAAACATGGCGGAACCGGAAAATAAATAAATGCCATCGAAACAAACAAAGAGCTAAGCAAACGATTCCGTATAGTTTCGAGTCCTGCAGCCCTGATAAGGAAGCTTATAAATTGAAACCAAGTGGACAGTGATTGGAAAAATTAATGGGGCATATTCTGTCCCAAATAAAATAAGAGTGTTTGTAACAAAGGACAGAAAAAGCTTGTATACTTCTTATATCCTTAAGGGGGATATTATTTGTAGCTATGTTCTAAAGTTCGCAGTGCAGTGCAGACAGCTACGATCCGGGCGACCATTATAATGACTTTTCGGATATTCATTTTTCTATATCTTTGTCTATATCTTTGCCAATAATCATGCGATTCTTCAAATGTCAAATTTTCTGGGTAGACCCCTTCAAAAATGGGGAAAATGGAAGGGCGGACAATATGGCCCACGCCGACAGCCATATCTTTGGCAATAGTCATCCGATTCTTGAGCGGAATTAAATTATTTGTGAGTAGATTCTCCATCAATCTGCATCAAAATCTGGAAACAAAATATTTTTTAAATTTTTTGTCAAATTTTCTGGGTAGACCCCTTCAAAAATGGGGAAAATGCATGAAGGGACAATTTTACCCACGCCGAAAGCTATATCTTTGCAAATAGTGATCCGATTCTTAAGCGGAATACCTTAAACGATTTGTGGGTAGATTCTCTATCAATCTGGATCAAAATCTAAGAACGTAATATTTTTTAGATTTTTTTTCAAATTTTCTGGGTAGACCCCTTCAAAAATGGGGAAAATGCATGAAGGGCGGACAATATGGCCCACGCCGAAAGCTATATCTTTGCCAATAGTGTTCCGATTCTTAAGCGGAATATCTTAAACGATTTTTGGGTAGATTCTGCACCAATCTCCATCAAAATCTAAGAACGAAATAATTTTTAGATTTTTTGTCAAATTTTCTGGGTAGACCCCTTCAAAAATGGGGAAAATGCATGAAGGGACAATTTGACCCATGCCGACAGCCATATCTTTGCCAATAGTGACCCGATTCTTAATCAGAATAACTGAATCGATTCGTGGGTAGAATCTCCATCAATCTGCATCAAAATCTAAGAACGAAATATTTTTTAGATTTTTTGTGAAATTTTCTGGGTAGACCCCTTCAAAAATGGGGAAAATGCATGAAGGGACAATTTGACCCACGCCGAAAGCTATATCTTTGCAAATAGTGATCCGATTCTTAAGCGGAATACCTTAAACGATTTTTGGGTAGATTCTGCATCAATCTCCATCAAAATCTAAGAACGAAATAATTTTTAGATTTTTTGTCAAATTTTCTGGGTAGACCCCTTCAAAAATGGGGAAAATGCATGAAGGGCGGGCAATATGGCCCACGCCGAAAGCTATATCTTTGCCAATAGTGTTCCGATTCTTAAGCGGAATATCTTAAACGATTTTTGGGTAGATTCTGCACCAATCTGCATCAAAATCTAAGAACGAAATATTTTTTAGATTTTTTGTCAAATTTTCTGGGTAGACCCCTTCAAAAATGGGGAAAATGCATGAAGGGACAATTTGACCCATGCCGACAGCCATATCTTTGCCAATAGTGACCCGATTCTTAATCAGAATAACTGAATCGATTCGTGGGTAGAATCTCCATCAATCTGCATCAAAATCTAAGAACGAAATATTTTTTAGATTTTTTGTGAAATTTTCTGGGTAGACCCCTTCAAAAATGGGGAAAATGGAAGGGAGGAAAATATGCCCCACGCCGACAGCCATATCTTTGCCAATAGTGTTCCGATTATTAAGCGGAATATCTTAAATGATTTGTGGCTAGATTCTATGTTAATCTGCATAAAAATCTAAGAACGAAATTTTATTTAGATTTTTTGTCAAATTTTCTGGGTAGACCCCTTCAAAAATGGGGAAAATGCATCTTTGGCAATAGTCATCCGATTCTTGAGCGGAATACCTTAAATGATTTTTGGATAGATTCTCCACCAATTTGCATCAATCTGCAAACCTGGGATCGAAATGGCTTTTTGATATTTTACCGATACAATAGTACCCTTGAACTAATGCCTTTCCTAGAATATAGCTTTTCTTTTCTTTATACTTTCTTTATACTTTATACTTTTGGATAAAAATGCATTTAAAATAGCCCCCGTAATAAAATTGAATCCGTATGAAATGAAAGTTTTTCTCTACCACGTGATGATTAATCAAAATCACAGCTAAAAAATAATATTTATGATTTTATTAATTGAATAGTAACCAAGAATCCAACCATAAAACCCATTAATAATTTGATGTATGGCTTTGAAACATATTACCATTAAGGCATTTGTCACAAATTAAAAACAATCTTTATTTTTGTGAGTAGCAAAAACATCCATAAATCAGGGTCAACTTTTAATGAACATGAAATTTTGTTGGGCTTGGCAGAAAAAGAAGAAAATCATCAGATTTCATATGTTAATAACTTTTTTTGTTGTGCACGTGTGCAGCATCCTGGCGTGTTTCTGTAAATAAGTTGTGGAAAAATGTTGGCGCAGTACGCAAAACTTTGCGATTGTTGAAATCTCTCCTTGGGGCACAACGCACACACAGCCCCTCGTTGGGGTTGCGGTATTGATTTAAGTATTTCACAAACAGAGCATACATGAGTAATGGCAGTTGTTCTCTCGACTTCTTTTAAAGTAAAATACCCAACGAAAACTATTGACAGCTGGCAACGATTCACTCAACAAGCGTAATGCAATAAATCCATCAGGCGCAAAGGAAAGGCATCCATACTCGCAATCCTTCCATTGAGATGGGGATTAAAGTTAAATACAATATTCCCCGATGTGAATGCAGAAGGCATTTGAGTCTCCTTTTCATGATTTCTCCACTGGCATTCGAGGAGGGGGCTTTCATTTGCCGACTCATTTCAGAAGTATTTAATTTCAAGAAAATGAATTATAAATGCAATTTGCCCGGATGAAAAACTCTATTTTATGTTTTGCTTGTGCCTTACTTATGAAGCGACTTTGTCCTCTGATGGCCTATGCAGAAAATTAATTACGTTGAAAGTTGATACCCGCTTCCCGGATACGGATGCGGATGCGGATGCGAATGAGGAAGCCCTTGTGCCAATGCGACCACAACTGACCCAGTTGTTTAATTGAATTGAAGCCATAAACACTTGGAGCCAGCGTCAGGGCCATGAAAGCAGGACCACCACCAGCACCGCACAAAAGTAGAAGTGAGTCAGTCGGGAATGAAAAATGGCCGCGGCCAGGAGCACTCGCTAAATAACTTTAATTAGTAGTGCGAGTGGGGCCATCAATCACCTTAGTGACGGTGCCGCAGAGAGTGTAAGCGAGTGCGAGAGTGAGCGGAAACGGAAACGGCAGCGGAAGTGCCGGCGGAAGCCACGTGGCCATTGCTAAGCATTTTGACAGCTGCGCCTGTCGGTTATGCAACGAAAAATACACAAACTCACACATGCGAGGATGCAGTGAGGAAATGGTCTGCCAAGAAGGATACTTGTAGACTTCTTCTAGCTTATTTCTTTGATAAAGATCTTTGGCATTTTTCTTCCTGTGTAAATATGCAATTTAGTACAAGAACGCAAGAAATTAATCAAATTGCAAATTTCATCAGCGTCACAAAAAAACAAGCTCAGATGTAGCGATGATGTTGGTTGGCGGCGAGTACTGTGAAAGAAGCTGAGAAGCCAGATCCCGAGCCTGGTTACTGCCACCAGCACAAGTTGTTGACATCTTCTGAGCCAACACGTAGCACACCAGAACAGGCAACAGAACCAGGCACACAAAAAGTAGTAAACACTTGACAAGAGCAACAAGACCAACAACAAAAACAGCTAAAACAAAACAACAACAAAAACAAACAGCCACTACAGAGCCAGAAAGAGAAGAAAAGACCGACCGAAGCTACGGGCAAATGTTTGCTTAAAAATGATGCGAGTCCTATGAGAAGAATTCGGTGGCAGGCAGGAGGCGAATGGATGACAGGAGGCGGATGTCATGGAAGCGGGAGTTGGGAAGCGGGAGAATCTGCTCCTGACAGATGCAAGACGCGTTGACAGTGACAAAGACAATGATGACGATGATGGGGCACGATGATGAGGATGGGGGTGGCAAGTTGGAGGAAGAGTGGAGGAGGAGGAGGCCAACATTTGGCATAATCCTGCTGACAAAATGTCATTACACCATCTACATAGTGAAGTTGCCCTTTGAAGTTGGCTCAAGTGTGGGGACTGCAAGCTGAGCGGACCGGCGCTTAAATAAATAAATATGCCACCCGCCGCCGCCAACAAAGTTCCTGGCATATGCTGAAGTTTGTGTATTTCCATATTAAGAGGGGGGACAAGTTTTCAAGAAAATTATTTTTGAGAAAAATCGCACTCCGAAAGTTAAATAAGCCGTTGACATTCTTTGCCAAAAAGTTACCATGAAATGGGTATATCAAAATGCAAAAGATTGATATTTCTTTGGGGGGCTAGTCATTATAATATAATATTAATGTATTATTATATTAAGTGCGATATAAATTTAATAATTTTATTCTAAATAAAAATAACTATTCCCTTACAACTATGGTGTAGATTCAGAGCACATAAATCTGAATTTCTTTCAAAAGAAATTGTATAAAGATGTTTTAATTTACTTTTGGTAAAAAACATAAATATTATATTAAAAATTATAAAACCACTAACCAAGTAAAGCTTTATTTAATTTTCCATCTTAACTCAATCGATTTAAGGTCCTTTAATCATAAATTTGTTCAACGATTCAGTTTCATGTCCTTTGAGTAAGAGATAACTCGTCTAAATCAAATCCCCTTAGTGTTGACTTACGGTGGAGGAGGATTCAGAAATAGTCCTTATAGTCCTTGGCCTGTCACGACAACGGAGTCTGCTTCTTTTTACAGTTATTCCACTTTAGCCCGCTTTGGCAGGCATGACACGAAAACGGGCATCGGCACCGGAAGTCACGCGAGTGGCCAAGTCATTGACAAATGGCCGGGGCCGGGTAGCAGCTAGCTGCTATTGTTTTACTTTTATTTCTATTTCTATAACTTTGCGCCCGCGAATTGGCCCAGTTAGTCTGTTTCTGGTCTCTGGTCTGTCTTAGGCCTGCTACTGCAGTGGCTGCAGTCTCGGTTGCTTTGGCACTTTCCTAATGCTTTTGTCTGCCTGCCCGTTTTGGCCCAGACGGGCGACTCTCTGTCTTTGCGTTTTCGCTTGCACTTGAGATACACTTGCACCGAGAGATACAGATATATGTACGTTGGGTAGTATCTTCGTAGTCTTCAGAGTGTAGGCGAGTGGGGGGCCGGTTGGAGTGCGGTTGAATTAGCGAGCGAGACACGAACTTTTGACCCCGTTTTGACAATAACAACACCACGAGAAGAGGCTTGGCCTGACTTGTCTTGGCTTATTTTTCTCCGGCTTTTTTGTGTGGCCGGCTTTTTGGCTCACTCACTTTGTTTGCAATCGCGCTTACAGTTTTGACTGACTGTGACTGTTTTTGAGAGGGTTTTACTGTTTTATCTTGTTAAAGAAGGGTTTCCAGCTCGCCTCACAAACTTGTTTATTGATTTAGCATAGGGCGGCGAATTTTGTAATAACAATAAATTTCAACCGTTTCCTATGTTGGCTGTTTATTACCATCAGCTGTCACTTTCACGCACAAAAATCTCCCTCCCCCTCGTTGGACTTCCCCAATATATATGTAACACTTTTCACTATTTGGGTAATATTTGTATAGAAATCTCAAACATTGAGTTTTGGGCTCTGGTTGGCCCGTTTTGCGCACGTTTTACGTAGATGGTTTTTTAAATCGAGCGGCACCCGTGAATGTGACGTTTTTGCTCAGCCAGCGCCTCACGAACTGAACTGAAAACTAAACCGAAACCCGAAAAGCCAGCATCAGAGCTCCCTCTGACACTTGACAGCTGTGATTGTGCGGGCTCTCTGGTCCTATCCTGGCCGGCAGGACATTCTCTCTCGTTATCCCTTTGGCGCCATCCTGCAGTCCACGTGCCATGCGAACAGCTGTTGCCGCAGATGTTCCACTGGGCCTGCGCAAATGGAGCCAACATTCTCTTCTCTGAATAGCTGGGAAAATAATAAAGCTCCCAGCACGTATGGCAACTGGAAAAGGTCCATAGTGGTAACAGTTTCTATTTGCCATAAAAAGTTGCCCATTTAGGCGCCTCCTACGCTGATTAAATTCTACCCGTTATCAACTAAACAAATTGAACCCAAAAGTTGGCGCGAAAGTCAACACATCCTTTTTCTGCTTCGACAACTTTTGGGCCAAAAAACTTTTCACATAAGAAGTTGAATTTTTTTAAAGGTACATTTTAAGGTGTGGAAATTTTGGGCTAGAAAATAATACATTACTCTTTTAAGCCCCACAATCTTAATACAAAACTTTCTTTGTCATTATCTTCTGTTTAATCGTAATTTAAATGTTAATTAATTACAAAACCCTAGTGCATAAAAATGCAAAAAAACCATCGAAACACATGCCGCCAGCGTGTGTAGAAATTGAGTTGTTCAGCAACAATGACCATCGTGCCCGCTATGGTTGTGGGAGTGTCCATGGCCACCGGATCTGTGGGAGCCCTTATCGCCACCAGACGTCTCTTCATCGCCGGCATTTTTCGACTTGATCCGATCCTCGCTGGCAAACTCGCTAAGATCGCGACGCATGGCATAAGCATCTTCGCCATCCGCATAATATTTCGGCTCCACCTCAATGATCTTGAACTTCAGGGAGTTGGTGTATAGATTCAACGCAGCCCGATTGCTTTTCCGTACATGCAGTGACACATACTGAGCGTTGAAGCACTCCACCATGGCTTGGGAGGCCTGATTCATCAGCTTTTGGGCCAGACCCAGGCGACGATAGGAACGCTTCACCGCCAGCGAGGTAATGTGGCCGTGCCTGCTTTCCTCATTCGGCTCCGGTTCCTCCATTTTGGCCAAGACATAGCCCACGATGCTGCCCTTGTCATCTTCCGCCACGTAGCTTAGCTGCGGCCAGGTGAGACCGTGGTAGAAATAGTATTTCATCTGGTAGTTCTCTGGCAAGCAAAGCAGATTGCAGTGCTGCATGGTCATCAGATCCTCGGGCTTAGCGCAACGGATATTCATTTTGATGGGCGATGTGGTCTCAGTTGTATTTGTTAGTGTTTCCTAATCACGGCGAGCTTTCCTTGCTCGGGCCTGATGCTGCTGTTGTTCCAGTTGATGATCCCAAACGAGTGGCTGTTGCTCCTCCGGCTCCTCTTGGCCCAATAGCTCCCGCACCAGACGAAATTTAGAAAGAAATGCCTTCCAAATCAAAAACCAGCCTGAAAAATAAAATTAAACGAATTAGGAAGAGTGATAACTCAGAGTATGGCAATTTGCATTCCACCAAGTGGCTGAAACCGTCTCTGCAGGTGCCTGCTTACCCAACAAAATGATAGCCGCAACGATACTAACAGAGGCTAAAATCGTGAAAATGAAAACCAGGCCCGTTTGCAGGGACATTCTAACATCTAATTTCAAAGCATATAAATCCTGTCGCACAAATGATAATAAAACTATAATTTAATAATGGTACTTTTAATTATAACTTGATGTTTTATCCAAAATACAAAAATAATATTGCTGTTTTTAGGTTCTATGACTATCACAATAGAAAACAGCTGGCTGGCTTGAGTCAGAATGGACGCTTTACAACACTACAAATACCAGGGCTGACACTATTTCTATGTAGTTCCAGTTGATAAATAAGAATGATTACAAAAAGCTAAGTAACTTGTTATGAATAACATTATAGAATTAACTTGGCTGCCAGCCTTGACAACTTTATGAGGAAAATCCTTAGTTTCACTTGCAAAGTTTGTTGCCACCAAAAACCACATGGGGTTAGAAATCCCACTTTGCACTTTTATGGCACTGATTTTTTGACGTAACCGAAGCCCTTATAGTCTTTATACTAAAGCTGCATTTATAATTAGTCCCGCAATTTGGTTAGTTATTTTTATATCCACCTGGCTTTGTTATTTTATTTATATTCGCGGAGAGCACACTTCTTGCACACTTTTTTTACACCGGGAATAAGTATGACCGTTGATTGAAATGAGATTTATACCAAAATATACCACAATGTAAGATTCATAAAATAAATTTTTAATAAGAATATAAATTGAATAAAAACTATAAACGAATAAATAATATTACACAATAAATAAAATTAATTATGACTAATTTAAAAAAAAATGAGTTTTATATTTTTCTAGATTTTTTATTAATGAAAATAATATCAAAATCAAGTTGGCAGCCCCAATTCATATTATTGTTGACCAACTGAAATATATTTTAATAAATTGAAAACAAATGCTATTTCAGAATTGATTAAACAAGAAAATGCAAGAATTCTCAGCTAAACGCGATGCTCTATTCGCCTGCCTGGATGATGCCAGTAAAGAATTGAAGGGCACGGCATTGGACCAGAGCAAGGCCAAATCGTACTCGGTCAGCGCTCTCGAAAGAGGAAGTAATTCCGGAAACAGGCCCGGATCCGGGTCCAGACAGGTGATGAACTATCGCCATGGTCGCAGCATTGATACCGGCCTCGATCCGGAGAATGGTAGACTGCGGAAAATGCGCGGTAAAGAGAGCATTTTCAAGAAACCGGAACTGCCTATCGGTCGCTGCTTAAAGCCCAGGAGAACACCCGATTATCAGGTAAGGATTGGCCTAAAGCAGTCCTAAAAGCCTTTAACTTTGAAATATATTTCGTTTTTAGATCAATCCCCACAAATGGAAGAAGTACTCTCTGGAAGATGTGGATATCTCCGATCAGAGCAACTCGGCAGCGGCTCTATCTTTTCTTCGCGAAATGGACGCCAAGAAAGAAGCCGGTATGGAAGAAGATGAATCCCCAGACACTAAGGGCAAAATCGAGTTCAAGAAGACCAGCAAACTGAACCGAAATCTCAAAAAACTTGAGCAGGAAGAGGTCCAGGACGTAGAGTTGGACAAACCCCAGTTGAGAGGCTCCAAACTAGTAATGCCGGAGTACGTAATTGGCCAAAAATCGCGACCACAAAAGAAATCGAAGCCCAAAGGAAACCAGAGTCGTGCCTCTGGGACATTGCAACTATCCCATTTGGATGAGGAAGATGAAATAGATGAGTAGATTACATCATTAGGCTTTAAATTTTAGGCTTAAGAACTAGTTTCTTATGTAAATAGATTTGAAAAACAAAACACTTTTTAAAAATTGGGGGAATTTGCTCACAAAAGTGTGATGTTTATTTTTGTGATTTAAAAAGTAATCTCTTAAATTGTACTGGAAGTCTGCCATATACTGTTTAATTATACAATATTTCGATTTCAACTACAAAAATAATGCTTGCACTTTGTTTGAAATGGCATGTTTTTGATTACTGATTCTATCACAAGAGAGACAAATGGTATTACATAAAAATGTTTTCAAAAATATTAGCACTTGGACCTTGAATAATTCGATGAGTATAACTATAAAGTATGAATATATAGCACGCGAGCACAAAACACATAATCTAAAGAACAGATATAAATACGACGAAACATACATAAATGCTGTAATAAATGCAAAGATTCAGTCGGGAATGCTTTCATTATGGGCAGTGGCTGCGGCTACTCCTCCAAATAGAAACCTGGATTAAAAAAGAGCTTATGGTTGAATCCGATATTGTCAAAGGAACCCGTCTGCATAGAGCCATTCCGGGCGCGCATGTTGCCCACGGAGGCACTTGTGATTTTCAGAATTTCCTCAAGGTTCAGGTTGTGAGCGTGTTTGGCCATCGTGCGGCAAAACGTCTGGATATACCAACTTCCCGATTTAGAATCCCTAAGAGTCACGTATCCACCCGTACTCGCGTGGCACACTAAGGTATCCTTGAAAGTTGCGACATTTTCGTAAATGGACGACATCCCCTCTGTCTCCTCCATGGACTGCTCCTTAGGCATCATTATTTCTTGGTGTGCTATTGAGTCGTACTGGTTCTTAGGCTGCCCCAAATCTGGCTGATTTCCGCGACAGAACGGAAAGATTAGCACCTTGGGCTTGTTCACCAGATTTGGGCTGATGTGCGCCTGGAAGTGGTTTTTGATCTTTTGCGTATCCACTACAGATCCGTCGTGAAACTCGACTTTGTCCACCTCATCCACTCGATTGCCATGTGTCATTAGAACCATTACAAAGCACTCTGTATCCCGGGCGTATGAGGAGGATGTGACCTTGTTCAGTATGTCGAAGAACTCCTTCTGATCCACATTCCCGAACGCGAATATGGTGAATCCCATTTCGCGGAACAGGTAGATCAGCGAGTCGCTATCCAGGTCAGCTCCATTGCGCCTTCTCTTGGGATCCTGAAAGTCGATGATGTTCACCATGAGTAGTACGCCTCGGTTGTACCGGGATTGCATCTTGTAGGTGCCCACCACTTCGTCCGTGTGAATCCTGTCCGACTTTATAACCTCGAGTGAATCCAGGTTCACTGGGTCAGTGTGCGGCGTCAGTGGTGCACTGGGATTTCCATAAATCTGAAAAAGTAAGAGTTATATTTGAAATTCAAAAATTTCAAGTATCTTACTTTGCTAACGACTGGCCCGTCCACGTCCCCTTGCGATGATGACGGCGTATCCACAATGTCCGTCGACTTTTGGTTGCGAGTCGATGATTGCTTCTTAATCGAAATAAAGGGGGTGCCGGTTTCGTCCACTGATTCGAGCAATTCTGCAGCTTGTACATAGTTGACGTTGCGCAGAGCCTGTATGAGCTGGTTGTAGGCCTGGGGACCCCGGTGAGTGATCTTCTCGAAGAGATTGCAGTGCTGGGTGTAGAGAACCTCCTCCGGTGGCATGTTGAAACGTTCCTTAACATCCTCAATGAAGCCTCGCATCTGGGATGAGATAATTCCCACCCGAACGCACTCATTCGCGATCTTGGAGTAGTTTGTCGCTCTCACCAGCTTATCCAGGTTCTTACTGATGTGATTTCGATGCTTCTCCAGCATTCCAATTTCTTTATTCGGTGGCTGCATCTTTGTGACGATTTATTTTATGCTTATTTGTAACTCGAAGGATGACGACGTTGGCAGTGCTCAGTCTCCAATTGGCAGTGATATTGGCAGTGAGTCACTCAAGGTTGTTCCGTGACTAAAAGTTGGCTTTGGAGCTACTGCGACTTTCTTTGTTCCCGCTTTGTTGTCGCTTCTCGTTCTTGTCGTCTTGGGGAGTCAGCAGTGGCAGTGGCAGTGGCAGTGGCGTTGATCCTTATTTTTCCAAAAGCAAATTAACTAGCTGGTGTTATTCACCTGCTATTCCAAATTAAGGATAATAGGATTTTGAATAAGATTTCTTTTGAAACAAAAGGATTTGTGCTCTCTTTCTCGCAGCCAACAGGCGCGCGTCCGTTCTCTCTCGATTCTAATCTAGGTGTGACCGTGGACCACTGTGACCGCGAATGACTAGCAGTATTGCCGTATTTCAAAAACCTCAAAAATACCCATTTATACATGATTTTCAAAAAACTGTTTTTCAAAAAAGCGTATTTATACTGGCAGAACATTATTTTGAAAATGTAAGAGTTAAACTAAAGAATAAATTCAAAAGTTATCCCTTCTCTCTCAGCTTTAAATATTAAATTAAAATATAATTTTAAATATAAATTTTGTAAATTATTCATTTAAAATATAACGTTGCATATTCATAATTAATATGTCTTAGCAGTTTCAAAAATATATATCTGATATAAAAGATTATCTATAAAATACCAAAAGAAAAATTTAAACAAGTTGGCAGTTCGAGAGCAACAGATGATTTTGTTTTAAATTGTTATTTTGCAAACTTTGAGATTTCAGACATATAACATGGAAGACGAATTAAAAGCAGAACTAAATCAACCAGTGGAAAAAACAACAAACAAGGGCACTCAGCTAACAAGGCTCGTTAAGCTTAGAGTACTAAGATACTTGAAGGCAAATGGCTTTTCCCAGGGAATCCTTAAGGAAGCTGCTCAATATCAAAATGTGGACTATACCGATGCCGCTTTTTGTAAGCTATTATTGTTTCTTTTGAAAAGCTCGTTTTTAATATTTCATTATTCACAGCTTATATAGCTAAGACCTGTCCCGAAGCAGAAGACTCAGTTAAGCTGGAGTGCGACTCTGTCAGCCTGAACAATATCACCGAGTGGCTGGAACTTTTAAAGGCAGCAGGGCTATCGGACCTTTGCGAATTCGAAGCTGCTGCTGTGGTAAATTCCATAATACAAAATGAGAAGCAGCCAAAGCCTAAAAGCTTAAATGGCATCGATCTGAAGTATGTAGCATAAACGATATCCTTTGTCATATCTAACAAACCTTTTTCCACAGGCAAGCCTACAAATTTCTGGACAATGCGCTGATGGGTCTGCCCCAAAAGGAACTGAGTGATGCCACCAAGGCTTTCCTTTCCAAGGAAATAGAGGTGACATTCTATCCTGAAAGTCTAGAACGTTTATTTACTCATCCTTCTTCATAGCTCCTAATAGCTGAGGCCAATACCGACGAATCCGATGATGTAGCCCGGAGCATGGGACAAAGCCTATACCATCAGCAAGAATTCAACTTTATAGCGCATCCGGAAAAGTGCAGCAGGGACCCTCTTTTCCTGGACAGAGACCAGACGTAGCGAATAAAATAAAGAATATGCCATTGGTTCATTTCCACACATTTATTAAACATTTAAATTCAATTTTTGTTTTATATACGTACTCTGTCACATGCATTTGCACTTTTCATTTAGCACTTTGTTGCTCCATCAATCATCAATTATCGATCCCACGGCTTACACATAAGTATTACTTCTATGCCGAATGCCCTAAACCTTTGTACGTATTTATATTTGATAATTACATTCATAATTAAGTACCTTCTATATATAAACAGTTGAAGTACATTAAAAATCTAGAATTCCTTTAGTACACAATTACTTCAAGTAGTGTAAGTACGAGTATAAGAAAAAGTTATAGGGTATTGGCCTTGGATTCTCTCATTTGCATAACGTTTATTGTGCATGATTGTTTCAATAGTTTATTTGTTGCCAATTTGCATTGCATAGACTAGGAATAGAGATTGGTAGTTTAGTTTTGGTTTTGCTTTGACTAGCTTTGTTTTAAACTTTAAGAGGCATTAAAACAGTTGAGTGCTGCTTGACTTCCGCAGCATCACAATAGAATCACAAGAGACAGAGTTGGCTTCATTTTGCGTTAGCAATTTATCATTTAGGCTTTATCAGGGTCTAGGATGTCACACTTATACGTTAAAATAACCGAAGATGATTATACATACATACAATCAGAGTTACATATACAAATTCGAATACAAATATAATACCCTTTTTAAATTATCCGTCGTTGGGTTTTATCTCATTAAAACGATCTTCACACAATCAAATGCAATTCAATAATGTACATAATATAATTCTTAAATGTTCAGTCCAGTTTGAGCTTTTGGTTTTCCCCTTTTTAGTTTTTTTTTTTTGTGTTTTGTTTTTTGTTTGCTTAGTTGTGTCACCACGTAAACATTAATTAAAATTAAGTTAATCTAATTATGTATAAATCCGATTAAATGCTAGTAAACCATAACGATATGCCTTGTCTAGATCCCAAAAAACGTAAACCCAAAATCAACAACCAAAACTCGGACTCAACAAAATGCAAAGCGAATTCAGGTGCATGGCAAGGATATGCTGGATTTCAAGATCAATATAGCTGACATTAACCGAGATTGAGTTAACAAACACAACGACAACAACGTAAACAGCAAGTGTATGGCGTAATTTTTGTAATGCGTGTCGGTAGAATTTTGATTGTCCCGTTCCCGTTCGTGTTCTTCATAGAGCATACATTGATTAATACATACGTGTATATAAAGTAGGTATTAGCGTGTTCTAAATAGAGTTCGAGTTGGTTGCTTTCGCTTTATTTTGCTTGTATACATATACATATATAAAATCATATTCTTTTTAGTTTTATGTATTCACGTCTAATCCGCTAAACATACCACACAACAACGATATCCGTTTTAATTCCCGTTTATGTACTGAATAGACTATAAAGTTTTAAGAGTTTACCATTTACCACACATATCTTCTTGACTATGCAATTGACTATAATGTTGAGATTAAGATTGCCTTCATGGAATATCATGGGGGTTTTTTTCTAAAATTGATCCAAGGTCGCCATCAATTCGATCAACAAATCAATCTCAGGATACCCACTTTTTCGGGTTCTATTTCGTGGTGTGGTTTTGGATACGTGTAATTCACCTTAGTAGTAGTTTTGGGTTTACTTGTATATAAATATATATTCAATGGGATTATGATTGGAACATGTAGATATAAATATGGGTGATCTTTGCTAAAAATAATTGTCCCCTTCTCATTTTGATTGCGTCTGCTGTAAAGCTCTGGGATAAGTTTGATTTTCTTGATGCTAGGTACGCTGTAGGTACTCGATATAATAGTATCTGATATATTTTGTGCTCCTCTAGGTTATGACTTATGTTGCTGTAAAAAAAATATATGCCTAACTATGAGTATGAAATGTAATCTCTTTATAAATATTCTCAGATATGATATGGTTTTGTGAATGTTTTACAATAAAAAAATAATAAATAAGAACTTTATAATAAATATTTATAATAAATTTTGGGTTTTCTATGAATTGATTGCATTTAGCAGTGTTTTGTTTTAATATTAAATGGCTCTTGTGACTTGTGTGTGTTTTTACGTGTTTAACACCTTTCTCTTGAAAATTACATTAAAATTGTGGATTTTTTTGATATATATATTGTTTTCTTTTTGTGATTATAATGTTGTTTTGGTCACATCGATTTGGATTGGCTAACAACATTTAGAGGTTTCGATTGAAATACTTATTTAATTTTCTTCCTTTGGTATACGTTTACAATTTTTTAAAATATTCTTTTATAATGCTAATATAGGTTGATTACTGGTGTTTCATAAATGGACCGAAATTTCATTGAAAGTAATTGGATTCTTTTGAATGTATTTAGCTTGTTTTGCGTTTTTGTATCTTTAGTTACGTCCGGAGAATAGTTGATACTGTAATAGAGTTGTTGCAAGATAATTAGGCCATCAATCTGGTTGTTCTATTTCAAACGATACTCAAAATACATAGATCTATATTTTTAATATATTTTATATATGTACGAAGTAGGTATCTAGCTACTGTTACAAAAAGATTGGGAAACTGCTGCAGCTACTTAATGGCGGGCGGAGTATCTGGGACTCCGTTCGTTAACGAGTATTACGGGTTTTACGTATATTACGGGAATAACAATTACGGGAAAACACCAAATAATTGGAGAGTCAAGGAGTGAGCGGAATTGGCACATACAATATATCATTATTATGGATATTAAGGTTAGATGAGCAAAAAGTAGTACAGACATTGACTTTGGATTATCGGAGGGGGTTCGGTAGTCATGCATCCACACGGTTCTCGGAGGGATATCCTGTTTCTGGGAATCAAACTACGACATCTAACTAGGGTTAACTTACGGCTAAATGTACATTTGTGTCTTGTCTTGGCACTTCCGCCGGATGTGAGCGACTACAAAACTACTACTAAGGTACATTTGTGGATGAGTGTGGGTATAGTTGGGAGTCGGATAAGTTGGGGACACCATTTCACTCCGGCGACTTACGTTTAAGCTTGTCTAGATAGTATACTCTTTACGATCTCAGCAAGTTCGAGTTTATAAATATATTCATTTTTTATGTAGAATTGTCGCCCAAAACTACGCACTTTGAATGCGAGAACCTTTGAACTCTTAAGGCACATTTCGAAGTATAATAATAAGTACAACTTACAGCAAAAGCAAATAATAATTTCAAATGCAAAAGCGGGGGGAAAGGTTTTAAAGTTTAAAGGGTTAAGCAACACTTATTGTGCAAAAGCCAAGTGTACATTTAACAATTACAATAAATTCGCAATTACTTAATCGTAGTAGAGTAAAAATACGAGTACAAATACATATAAACATCTGACAAGTTGGCCTAGACAGATTCATATATAGTTCAGATTTAAGATACAGATTTGCAAGATAGCAGGTAGCAGCCTTCTGGAGCCTTCAGTGTCAGTCAATCAATCAAGATTACACATCTATGTTTATGGTACAAATATATCCTTGATCAGCGAGCAGCTTAGCTTGATTCTTAGCAGTTTTAATCCTGTTATTGTTATTTTTCATTTTTTCTTTCGAGTTGTATTTCCAAATATATATATTTATAGTGCAGTTCAGATGGGCAGAAAGTAAAATGGCAAGTCAAATAGTACAGACACATTCACAATGCCATGGAAAACGTTTAGATACATTTAGTAACACCATAAATATGTTACAGCAGCAACCGAAAATGTAGCTGAAAGTCGCAGGCATAAGATTCACATGCAATGTAACGAGTTTTCTTATTGATTTTTTTAAACTTTTCTTAAACTTTATGCTAGGAAACAGTTTCACCTATTAGTCGGTATGAAACCTACACTTGAGTAAAGATCCTGACCTTTGATTAAAGATTTAAATTTTTATAGTTGGAAAGGGGAAAATATCAAAGAAGAAACATGAATGAATGTATACTCGGACAAAAGGGGAAATATCGAATGAGTTTTTGAATTTAAAATCCCAAAAGAGTGAACAATTCAAAAAGCAAGCTTGAACCATGCAAAGAATATCGAATAACTACCAAAAAATCAAAAACATAACTTCAATTTAAATACCTTGAATACCGCAATGTACAGGAACTTAATGTGTTAACTTATAATACGCTTCTAAGTGGTAACTTCCTACCGTAATGCCTAGGCCCGATTTTAACTAACTAACTTGTACGAATGTGGCCGGGAATCGTGTTCATTAATCCAACATTAATCCAATAAATTCATGGTGCAGTGGTGCTTAAGCTAAACTAACTGGTAGATGTATTGACAATTTAACAATAATAACACGGGCCGTCATTAACAATGACTGTGTACGATTACCAGGACGATATGGATAAAGGATTCAAATAAGGCTAACATCACGTTCCGCACACAGCAGTGCCTAATGCACACACACACATGCAGTTTCCGGGGAAACCCACTTTTAATTCAATTCGATTTTCCAATTCGGAAAGAGTCGCGGCCGTGAGGAGAGTGTGGCAACAACTAGGATAATCAATTTGAAAGGATAATGAGTAATTAACAGTATCCAATGGGGACTTTGTTACGATTTTAGATATGTTTCAACATTAACACTTATGGTACATACAAATATATATATATATATGTGTATATAATATAATTAGGACTTGAATAAATTCTCCAAAAACAACAGTTTAGTAGTATTCGTTCTAAGATTACATTAGTAGTATGCATAATATAAATATTAGTTTGATAATTGGTAATTTGCATTACTTTCAGCATCAACAGTAAGTAAGTAAATGTAGTAATCTAATCTAAAGTAGGTCTCACATGGGTACATTCAAATATACTCGTTTGGATATTCATTCATTGATTGTTCTCAACATCGATTTTTGAATTATTTTGCTTCATTTTACCCTCTGCCCCTCTTTCATATACAACATGTTCTTTAATTCATTTCATTTTTTGATTTGTCAAAGTTTTCAATTAAATTCATTTCGATTCAATTCGATTTGATTCGATTTTCGATTTTAGTCGTTTTGTGATCGGTCTCAGAACCTCGGCGGATTGAGATTGAGGTTCATGCTTCGCAGTTTCCGCATATTGTTGAGGCTCTGATTCGAGAGGCTCGTATTCGGATTATAGCCGGATTGGTAGTAATTATAGCCGGGTTGGTAATTGTAGCCGGATTGGTAGCCGGAATTGTAGCTGCTGGATTGGGCCAATCGGTACGAGTATCTGCTGGAATCGGCGTTGGCCGGAGCCCCGCCGATTTCGTTCAGATCGTATTATTGACTGAATGTAATATTGAGTGACGGACACTTTCGGACGTTGCTGTTGCTGTTGCGTGTGCCATTTACCCGTAATAACGGCACCGGGCTAACCGTGCCGGATACGGAAGTTAATTGTCTTACCATGCCGGATCCCAGTTGCTGCAAAATACCCGATCCGGATCCCAGCGGTCCCGACGACAGCACCGTGGACTGGCGGCGCGACCTGATCGACTGCATGCTGGATGACAGCAGGAAGGGGACGCTGCTCGAGGTGTTCGGCATGGAGCCACCCTGTTTTTGGGAGTACAATAAAGGAGATTTCTTTGGAAGATTAGTCGTTAGTCATGATTCGGTGGGCTTTCGAATTGGTGGATGCGATCAGATCAGGACAAATATATATATATATTTAATTTTGTGCTATGTACAGGTTGCTGGTGGGTATGTGTGGCGGCTGTGAGTGGGTGAGCCCAGTTATTATATTCCAATGTTAAGGTATACATATAGCTGATTGTGCAACAAACAATCGAACCAACCAACAAACAAACAATCAAACCGAACTCAACCTCAAACTCAATCAATCAAACAATCAGTCAATTAACTGGGAAAAAAAATCCGAGAAGAGCCAGAGATATGTCGGATCGATTAATACAAAAAACAAATTAAGGAAAAACACAGAATGCTCAACTGAATGGATTTTAAAAGAATGGACATATGTACAAATGCTTCTGAATATATATGAGTATTAATGCATATGTATATTCCAGAATGAAATTTGGACAGAGAACAGAGGCTGGTGGCGGGGCGGGGTATTGGCTTCAAATAAAATCAAATTACATTAACATAAAATTTAATATCAGCATACTGCGTGGGTGTGTTGGTGACTGCGTGTGCCTGTTGGTGTGTGTGTGTGTGTGTGCACGTGTCTAGACTCAAATGGTTGAGAGGCGGGAAAAAGTGAGTCAAGAGTTAAATAGCTTTTGGAAGAGAGAAAAGTCAGAGAAAATTATATATCGAAAATCGGAAAAATCGAAATTATGAAACGTGTACTCACGATCATGCTCCGTGCAAGCTGCGAATTTTTGTTTTTTTTATTTTTATACGTATAATCGATTTTTAGTTTCAATTATTTTTTTGTTCGTACATGAAATGGAGAACGGAAAGTACATACATGAAATAAACACTGTTTCAAACGCATATGTGGATGTGTGTTATATTTTTTTTTCCAAAAAAACCCTGTTCAAAACTTTAACAACACCAGCAAAAATGCACAAAAATCTGGCTTCCATTTATTTTGTTATTGTTAGCCAAACAAATACATATATGTACGAATGTCAATGTCAAATATATAGATATATATATCGTGTTTATGTCTGGTGTGGGTGAGTGGGTGGTCCATTGGTTTTCTGGTATACGAACGCAACAGGAACAGATTCAAATGGAAAAGAAATCAAATTAACACTGAGCACGATCAGGACATTTAATGAATAAGTAGGAAGGTTTATATAGTATAGGCAGAGTATAGTAAAACGAACATAAATTGTTGTAGTTCGTGTTCCATTGGTTACGTCTTAGAGACCCATAAAATGGTTTAATTTCGTGCATTTACTGTATCTTGATATGATTTCCTCCCTCCTAAAAATTATAGCATATATATTCACCACCCAGCATGAATAAATAAGTACTTCTATCATCTTTGCTGGAAGTGTATGTATTTTCCTGTTAAAGTCACGAAGCCCCAAAATGTATGCTATGATTTTTTCGATACTAAATTAGCCGCATTTTGATTGATTTTTCCTCCGTCAATTCAATTATTTCGCTGAAAATTCCTCCCATTCATCAAATTTACATGGCGCAACTTCATTACTTTGATACTTTTCACTGGAAGGACCTAGTATGTACACTTGGAACGGAAAATTAGATACTTAGGATAGGTAAAGAAAGCAGTAGGAGCAACACAAATGGAAGAGAAGGTAAGAACATCGACTGCATTATGTACATTATACTGGATATTAGCATAAGCTTCTGTTTTTGGCAGAGGTTCCCCCTTAAGAAAGAGAGACAGAGAACGGAAGTACAGGCAGACATAGTAGTTGAAGAACAGGACTCGATAAAATCAATATAGGAACCACTCAAAATCAAAAGTTCAGAGCAAATAGATACATATACAAATACAGATACTTCAGCGCAGCGCAGCAAATGCACAAAAAATAAACCAAAATTAAAAAGAAAATCATTTAAATAAAAAATGTACTCTTGCAACATTTTTTCCATTAAAAATAACAGCACAAGAACGAATACGAGTACGAGAACGAGAGATTTAGGCAGCAAGTCAAATTCATATTCATATTCAAATTCAAGTCCAAACGCAGTTGCAATTGCAGTCGCAAAATACGAGATACACGTTGAAAAAGGCCAGCGAGAGGCGAGTGCGAGCGAGCGAGCAATAGAAACGGAAACGGAAACGCATTGCCAGACATCCGTTTGACATTTAGCATTGAAATCATCGACGAGAACAAGAACCGTTGCATACTGAATACGTTGTTTGTATGTTGTTCGAGCTGTGAGTTTGAGTATAAGTGTTTTATTATATTTTATCTTATTGTATTTATTTTTTGGTTTGAGGAAGACAGAGAAAGTTTTTAGCTTTGAAGTGCTTTTGGAGACGACAACGATAACAATAAAACGACAGTTAACAACTTGACATGACAAAGTCCATTTCGATGCTGGCTTAAAGTGCTGCCGACAACTCGCACAAGAACTTCATACGGATTGGTAAGAACACAGGCCTGACAGTGTTTAGAGGTTTTGTTTTTATACTCCTGAAGATGCTTTAAAATTATTTCTATAAAAAAATATTACTTTCTTGAAGTAGAAAAGTTACTAATTTTATTTTTTTTTTTAAGGTTGATGATAGAATGTATCATCATACTTGTAAACAGACTTATAAAAATCTTTATTTCAAAGAGAAACCAACGATAATTTATGATTTATAATACAAACTTTTATTTGGCCTTCAGGAGTATAATATCTTCGACTTGACCGAAGTATCTGTAAGTTTTTCTGTTGATCTGCATTCACATGACTGAAGATTGCTTTGTTTTTTAGACTTACAACATAGACCGAAGTGGATGGCACCGATAGACTCGATCCAGAGCTACCGCGGGCACCATACTATTATATCGTAAAATATATATTCGGAGGAGAATAATACCCCGATGATGAGAACGTAGTTTCGATTTATATTTTTTGTCAAGTGTCGGAATATGTCAGTGATCGATTAGATCGGGGGGAGATAAGATATAAGAGAGCGTGTGTTAGAGCTTTGGTATTATGTAGACTTCGCTGCGTTGGGAATTAGGTGGGAAATGAGATAATACATATACATAATCGCATTCATAACTGATCAGATCTGAAAGCAAAGAACTCAGGAAAGCGAAAAACTTAACCCAGAAAGTAATGTTTCTTGTTTGGTTTTGTACGTAATTGGCAATGTTGGCAATGTTCGCTTGAGAACTGTAAACTGTAGGTTGTAGTAACACGCTAATTGCTACGCTAGGCAGTATAGCTATAGCTAGATGGCTATATGGATGGCTATATGGTATTAGTAGTAGTATAGTAATAGTATTAATAATAATAGTAGTTCGGCGGGTTGACATGGCACATGAGCTGCTGGAAAAGCCAAACCAAGGAACCAAGGCAACAAAAAAAGCGACATGGCTCAAATGATATTTCAATAAAAATCAAATAAAGGTTAAGCCTTTTGTGGCCGTCGAGGGCCTTTCGCTGAGTGGCACAACGCGGCAAAATAAAGCGAAAAGGATACTGTATGAACGACATCGGGAAACCACAACAAACAATGGTGGCCACAAAATAAAAGCCAACAAATAAAGAACCGATGCGAAACTAAAAAACAAAAAAAAACATAAAAGTTGAAAATTGAAATCGAAACTGAAGCTGAAACTGGAAACCCTGTGCCGGGCCAGACACAAAACAACTTACAGTTGGCGGTGACAAATTGATGGTGGAGCCCCGCCGTTCCTGTGGCCCGATGCTCGAGTGCCGCCGGGTCGGCAGCCCGCTGCCCGGAGTTCCGCCCGGCGAGGAAGCGCACGAGGGCGCAATGCGGATCTTGGGCGTCATCAGCGTGTTGTCCGACAGTCGGCGGTTGGGGAACACGTTGCCAACTCGCAGGAAATTGCTGTCCGGCGATGAGGGCGAGCAACCGAACCACCAGCCACCCAGCATGCCAGATCCTAGATATAAACAGAGAGAAATATTTATACAAACATTATTAAAGTATTCATTTATCATTTCTATTATAAATAACATTACCAATCTTAAGACCTAATCAAATATTAAACAATTTATAAAGTCTAATAGATAAAATAAAGTATATCCCTATTTTTCTCACTGTTTTACAATGTCATTCATCACCTAATACCATTACGCCTACATTCCTGCAGACGGCTGCCACCAAGCTAATTAAGTCTAATAATGGTCGCGGTTGTAGCCACAAATTCAAAGCTATATATGGAGCTTTTTTCGAGAACCGGTGACCGCAGTCAGTACCAAAAACCGACAGACCTGAAAACCAAAAACCAAATGCTGAAAATCCCCCTGCACCTCACCAGCCAGTCAGGCTTTCTCACGCCAGGGTTTTTGTCACTGCCAAGGCCATTCGCACATTTTGCGGTTGCGGCTGCTGCACATGACTCGTTCCGATTTCCCCAATCCCATTCCCCAGATCTCCATTCAGGGGCAATTTATGCCGAAAGTTATTAACTTGAATGAATAGGAGCAACCGGCAAGGTTAAAGCGAGGCGAGTCAAGGCGAACAAGTTATTGAAATTTTATTGCACTTCATAAAGGACCAAGTTTTGAGTGAAAACATATATAAAGAAATTTAGTTACAGTGGAGTTTATAAGTTATTTACCCCACACAGCATCCAACATACAGGTCGTATGATTAATATGTAATTACATTACGCATACGCCGGGTAGGTTTTTGAATTAAAATGTTATTCCGAAATGTTTCATGAGATATGTTTTTTATGAGCCTGTAAACCTTTTTGTTAGTGACTTTTAACTTGCAACAAAAGGTAGCAGGTGTTGGGTTATTTGGGTCGGTCATGTCAAGGTGGTTCTGCTTTTGACCCGGTCTGTGGCAAATTGTCACCATGGCCCTGTTGATTGGGCTTAAAAGGAGCGGTGCTGGTCCGGGCTTTGCCGTGTCTGGCGGCGATTAGGGCCATCATAATAAATCATCATTAGGGAGGAAAGTTCATTAGGCACACTGCATCGCACACTGGCCGGGCATGCGGCTGTGACCATGGCAGATAATACCCGGCTCGGGGCGGTGCTTTTGAAATTCGTGTTCGTAATTATAAAATTATCATAGCCCTGATAATACAATTACATGGCCGGTCGCAACGGCTCGTGTCCAAGGAGCAAGAGCTAAATGATTTGTGGGCAGGACAAACAGACTCCTGTCACGTTCGATGAATACCAAATTGAAATCACAACGAAATTTCCAATTATACAATGCCCAGAGGGGACTACAGAAATTGGTGCTTCAAATCCAGAAGGGAGTCCGGCAGGTAATAAGGTAATAAATGCAAATACAAAAGAGCTTATTGGGGAAGGAGAGTGTCTTCAAATAATAGACCTTTTAGTGCCTTAAATTAGGTTTTTAGAGCCACTGGCTTTTAAATGCAATTATTAGAGGTACTCTAACTTACCGCCTGAATTTTTGCGGGCCATATCCTCGGCACTGGACGTCTTTCGCTGATCGATTCGCAAATTGGGAATATTGAAGGGCGGTGCGTTCATGTTGTCGGTGGAGAACTGGTGGCGCAGGGTGCGGTGCCTTTCCGGCGAGGCCATCGACAGGTTGTCCAGCTTCAATTTGTTCCTCTGCTGCCGATCGATGGCCTCCAGCATCTGTTGCAGCACCTGCAAAAACACAATATACCAGACGGCAGAGAGTTGTGGCTGCCACAAGTTGCAAAAAGCTGCTGGCACACACTCACCTCCAGCAGGTAGCAATATTGTTCGAAATTGAGTGCCGGATTGACGGTGTGGGGAATGAGCAGGGGCAGGACATTGGTGGCCATCGTTTCTACGGTGAGGCCATAGGTTTTGTCCACGAACAGTTTATGATAGATGCCTGTGAAATTTAATTAACAGAAAACGTATTATACGGCCAGGTTCATAAAAGTTTCTTGTTTTTGGGTGGAGCTTTGTTAAAAGCTAACTTTTGGGTTACTTTTAAGGGCCATCTCATACGAGAATGTATCAAAGAAAAACAAACTTAATTTAATGAATTTAAAGTGCCTTTCCCAAAGTTTATTTTCGTTTAATAATTAAAGTTTATTAAATAAGCACCTTGCTTGATTAAACGACAAACCAAAAAGCTAGAATAATCTTCATGCTTTTCAAGTAATAACATAAATTTAAATTCTCTATTGTTTTGCCATGAAATTGTGTGTTCATGTCCATTAATCAGTTTACCATAATCGAGTATACAAACAATGTCCACTGCAGTGGCTGAAATAGTTTAAAATGGCTAGAAGGCATTGTCTGGCTCAACTTACGCACAGTACGCATGATGATATCGGGATCGGGGATGCGGACATTTGCCAGGAGCGGCAGGACCTCGTCCATGACCTAAGTGGAAATGTATATAAATTAATCCTATCTCGGATATTAAGGGGAAATCTCACCTGTCCTCGTTCCATGCGGTCCATAACCCGTTCGATGCACATTAGCACATTCTGGACAATCTTCGGATCGGTTATGTTTTTCTCGAAAACCAATTTAACTTTTGGCAGGACCATCCGGCGAATGGAGAGCTCATCGATGCTATCGAATACATTGGCCACTGCCACCACAGCAGCGCTCTAATAAAAATTGTTCGGTTCATATAAAAATTTCCTTTAAAATTTATGGATTTCATAAGTATAATGGTTTTTTCTTTTTGCCCCTTTTCCAAACAGATAAAATGGCGGAATTAAAATGCAAATTCAGCTGCCGAGGCACTTTTATACTTTCAGTCTGAGTCGCAGTTAATTAAGAAATTGCTGCCGTAATTACACAATCAACTCAGTCAACCCATTTCCATTTCTGCGAATGTCTCTGTCTGTTTGTCTGCCAGTCAGTCTGACTTGGCTCGAAGTCGAGAGTTCGAGGGAGGGGGATGTCTAAGTTCATTTGCATAACCGAATGGGAGAAAGGCACTCACCTGCACTTGTATCGTGGAACCGTCGAAGGAGCAGAACAACATGGGCATTATGTCTGTGGTGACATCCTCCGGCTTCGTCTTTTCGATAATCAAATGCAAATTCTCGAGTATCGTAACGCTGGCCTGAATGGATTTCGGTGTATTGTAGACGACTCTAAGTGAGATGGAAGAGATTTGATTATGGTAAAGTTTTCACCGACTTTTCTCAGGCCATCTAGTCCATATAGCCATGAAAAATTACTAAAAATAAACGCATTATTCCTTGGCGTAAGCGTGTGCCAACTTTATTTCATTTAATTCTATCCGATTCCATCGTTTTTTTGTTTGTTCTTGGTGTCAATAAGCGTCTTACAAGTGGCCACAAAGTTTGTCAGCAACTTTCGGCAAAGTAGTGAACGCGAACCAAGCTCGCTCCCAAGGATGCGATGCGGGCTTTGTGTGTTTTACTAATTTATGCACGGCTCCCACACAAAAGGTAAGCACTCCCCGCCACTTTGCCACACTTCCAGGCCCAGCCACGCCCCAGCCCATTGGCTCGTGGTCTGGCCCGTAGCCCGGCCTGGGAAACTTTGCCAGTTGAGCTCTATAAATTACAATATGAACTGTCGCCTGCCGCACTGGGCGTCGCAATAAAACGTCATGAAAATTGAATAACAAAAAAAGTGTCGCGAAAGTTTTTCAATTGTTCAAACAGAAAGTTCCTATCGTCCAGACCAAAACTGAAAGCCAAAAGCTTAGCCTTCTCAACAACGACAGGATTGAGGTAATACTTTTAGCCGAACATGGACAAGAATTTACAAAGATAATCTTTAATTAAAAAACTAAGTTCCATATACTCTTTCTTGACTAATCCAAGCTAGTTTTTGCCTTTTTCATTAAGATCTTAATGACTAATGGTTGCTAATTAAAACCACATTTTTTCAGCTCCTTTTTAAGCTCATTCAAGAGTTACATTTCAGGTTTCCATTTCCATTTTTAAGAGATTTTTTCTTGGTTTTACTCACTTCATGGTGGCCGACATCAGGTTGTCGTATTCGGTGTGAGTGGCTTCCTGGACAAAGAGCATTACCGGTTGCAGGACCGCTGCCAGGACCTCGTTGTTGTTGATCTCCGACTTGAGCATGGGCCAGATGTTCTGCCACCAGAGTTTCTGCAAAGAAAACATGGGAGAGAGGAAGAGTTGCGAGGTCATTAACCAGTCTATGTCATTTCAATTGCCAATGCTAAGCCGTCATTAACGGCATCAGACAATAGGGCCCACAAAGACTTTGCTGACGAGTCCTTCCGTTTTCCTGCTGACAGTCGCCAGTTGCCAATTGCCGGCTGTCGGTGGCCTGTTGCTGATGGCTGATGAGAAAACAAAGGACACTCGTTGGCGGGAGCAGCAACATTTTTGCAACTGTCATAAAACGGCTCGTAATTCACAAATTGTTTGGCCATAAAGCGCACAACTTGGCGCCGTAAATGATTAATGCGCTGGGGGGTTGTTCAACCGAAAAAACGACTGAAAGTCCCCGAAAAAAAAGAATTTGAGGAACCGGTTGCATCCGGTTCCGGTGAAGAAAAAAATCCCCGGAAAGAAGCTCTGGGTGTCACTTACACGTGGTATCAACGGCATGGCCTCTATCAAGGTGGTTTTGTAGAACTGGGACTTTTGCTGCGTGTCCTTCATGTTGACCACGTCCAGGAATTTGAGAGCACTTATAGCCGGATCGCTGTTAACAATCAAATAAAATAAAACGAATATTAACATGAATTACAGTTTATTAACCAGAAAACCTTTTAATCGCTTAAAGTGCTTAAGGGCTTATAGTTGAATTAGTCGCATAAATGGCATCAATTAAGCGAAAAGCTTTGTATGCAACCGAACCAAAACAGGAAAGGAAGGCTAACTTCGGTCAGTGTCGAAGTTGATATACCCCTGCAGGTAATATATGTAATATAAAACATGTATTATTGTATAACATAAACAATACATTTATTTATTGGCGAAATAAATAAATTAATATTGGATGGGATAGATACTGCAAATATCGGATAAAGTTACCCATCGGAGCTTCATTATCAAAATAATTAAACAATATAAAATATCAATATCAATACTACTATTAATATTATTATGCTTATATAGACCAGTAGGCCATAAATATTATACCCTTATTATAAATATATATCCTTCACTGTGTTGCACACTTTTTACTAAAATTATAATACCCTTTGCAAGGGTATAAAAAAGACCCGCAAAAATTAGCTAAAGTCCAATATTTATCTCAGCGCCGCTGAAATTAAAATATTAAGTCCCCGCAGAACCGGGGAGATCCGCTGGGAGGGGCGGCTACATTGTAAATGGAATCGTAAATACTTTTTATTGTTATGTAAATCAAATTGTTGAAATTTAATTGCCAAAAAGTGTTTACTTTCGACCCGCATTCGAGCAGGGCCCCGGGCTCCCCCCAATTCGGTTTTATTTTATCTGGCACTGAACAGACCGGATACAGTATACTGTGAAATTGCCACAAATGGGAAATAAATGAGAGTTAGTCACTGTGGCGCTTAAAATTTTCTTTTTTCGCTTAGTTGAACAATGAAACTAAATTACATTACGTATACGCAGTGTCCAGCCTATTCAGACTTCGGCCAAGCGAGAAAAATCATATTTCAAATCTACCCTCTCCGTAGCTTCCGGAGATTATAGCTATAGAGAGGGGTAGCTCTCGAGAGAAAGAGATAAAAGTTAGCTGCCACTGATTGCCAAGACACTCGAGCCATTTGCATACGCTGCTAAAACGCGGAAAATGTTGACAACATTTAAATTAACTTCAAAGTGCTGCCATCAACCTGGCTGGATGGCTGGCTGCCTGGATGCCTGGCTGACTGGCTGGCTGGTTGCCTGCCTTCCTGGCTGACTAACTGACTGGGGGTGAATAAAGGTACTGGAGAGGGATGCTGGATTGCCGTGGGCGCTTTTTGGGGAGTGGTGTTGTGAGTGTGGCATGGGTGGGGCAACGTGCTGTTGCTTTCTCATTGCTTGTTGCTGGCGCTGTCAGCGCATTTTGATGTGTTAATGGTATGCAGAGGTATATTTGTTTGTTTCCGATTTAAAGCTAAGTTAAAGGTTAATTACATATAAAACAAATATTTCTTAAAACTTGTAATTAGGACAATCTCATCATGAAAACCTCCTACTATTTATATCTAGTTTTTAACATGAAAGCTCCTCATATGACCATTTTTATTTAATCCTTTTTTTTAGAAAATGATATACCTAATTCTCATATATTAAAAATAAATCCCATTCTATAGTTATTTATATATAAACCCAAAGTGGCTTGACCTGCACTCGATTACTCTATGAAATTGCTTTTATGAAAAGGCAATTCCAATTCACAAAGCACCCCGTGGAAACATTACCACACAATTGGCAACGTTTTGTGGTATTTTACATTCAATCCACCTACGGTACATATATATTCTTGAGACAGTCTGCGGTATTCCCTAGATAGAATCGTAGCACTATGGGCTGTGCTTCATGGACTTCATCCTTCCGACAGCCCCATTCCGTATAGAAGCCGCCAAAGCCAACGACGTCTTTGGTTTTGTTTGTCTAAACGCGGCACGTTGCCTGTGCAGCCTGATGCCTGTTGGATGTTGCCACAGCCCTATACTTTTTTCCTCATTCACTTCCCTCCGGGTGGCAGGAGGCAAACAGCTGCTGTCGCCATAAATCCCAGAGTCAGGCAGCCAGGCCGTGGTGGCGGCCCTTGCAATGCCACTCGGGCTCAACAGCGTCCACAGTACAATCAGCAGAAAAGGCAGCGGATTGGAACACTTAAAATAAAATGGGATTTTTAAACAAGAAAAATTATGTTTTTAAAAAAATAATTTTTAAAAAATAACAAGGGTAAAATAACGATTTTAAAATGTATTTAAAACTTTTCTGCTTGAGACACTATTGCCTATATTAATGTTATTCTCACCCAAGCGTAGTTCTTTTAAACCTTTGTGATATTAACTGAACACTGATCTTAACTGAGAAGGGTTTTAATATTTATTTTAAACTAAAGGATAAGAAAATAAATGGTAATCCTCGATATCTTAGTCGAATATGAAGAAATCCTGTCTTTTAATATTCTAGTAATATTTGTTTCGAGTGTCTAGAAACTTCCCTTCCGACATCCTTCCTTCCGGATGCTCTCCATTCACTTTGCATTGTGTATGTCTTTCAGGTCTGATTACCGCTTTCATTTGGCAAACAGACGTAATTAAAGTGTGCGTGTGTCGGTTCCTGGCACGGAGCACAGCAAAAAAACGTAGATGGATGTATATCCTTCAATTGAATTTCAGCTACAGGTACAAATTGGCTTAGAGATTGCGTGTAGAGAAAGAGGATAAAAAGTGCTTCCGGCTATGAGGGGATTGGTGTTTTGTGGATTGGTGTGTGCGTGTCCTTAACAGGTGTCAATTTCATTTAAAACTCGAACAAAAAACAAAAACTTTCAATGAAACTGCGCAAATTGCCACTGTTATAGTTGGTAGTTGGCTGTTGAGTTCTTGTGCTTCCTGTTGCTTTGCGTCTTGGCTAGGAAGTTAATTAATTTGGCCACTCACATGAAGTACTTGATGAGCTGTAGGAGCTGGGCGGTGGGTCTGGCGGTTGCATCTCGACTGGCCATGCGCGAAGTGGCCTCCTGCAGGGCTATCGGCAGCCTTGGCATCAGCTTGTGGACCAGATCATCCAACTGTTTTCCAGAGATGGCGGTGGAGGTGGAGGGAAATATGAAACGAGATGGGTATAACCGAAATAAACTTTGCCACAACATTAGAAACCACTTGGGGACTTCACGGACTCTGGACTCTGAAGTCTGGACTGAGGAGTGAGGACGAAGGACGAAAAGTTTTAATGACAAGCGCCTGCGGGATGCTTCTGCTTTGGCTGCTGCTGATGCTGCTGTTGATTCAGCTCCGTCACCTGTCCGCACAAGTGGCAAAATAATTAGAGTTTCAAGTGGACTTTTTGATTACATTTGCATTTGACAAAGCTGCGAATCTAATTACAGCTCGCAAACAAGCCCAGCCAAGCGAAGGAACTCTCGGGGCTTCTGCTCCGGATCCGGCTCCGGCTCCGGTCCCGGCTTGCAAAACTTTTCATCCGTCCAATTGGCACTTGTCGCCCCCAGCTCGATGCCCGGCAATTCAGAAAGTGGAACTGAAAACTGAAGACTGTTTACCCACCGATTCCATCTGCTTGGCATAGTTGGAGGTGGAGTTGCCGGCCTGAATCAGCGGCCTGCCGTTGTTGAAAACCGCACAAATCACCATTCCCAGGGAGAACATATCGCTCAGCAGGCTGCATTTGGACGTTGACTGAGTTTCAGGTGCTGGTGAATAATGGAAGAACCAAGTCGAAAGTTTGTAACAATATTAAGTTGGTTTTTGGTAACAGTTTGGGAACAATTAACTTTATAATTGGTAAGAAATTCTCCGGAAATACTATCCAAGAGGATAAATATATTTTAGGAAAGCTCCAGAAAGAAGAACCCATCATTACTTACCCATAAAATCCAGATTCGGTTGTGCCATCTTGGATACCCTGTTGCTCCACGGTGGACATGGTATGGAGCTATTCAAATCGTTCTCGTTCATTCGTTCTGTGAATCCGAAATATGAATACAAATTGCCTGCCCTGGCCAATTCATTTCAATTTTGGTTTCGGAAAACCGAAGAACTCACCCACATACTCCATGCCGGCTAGCTTCCAGATGCCGCGTTTGGTTATTAGTATAGAAGATGGACACACATTGCGATGAATTACGTGACCGGAATAGTGCAGATACGCCAGGGCCTCGGTCAGCTGGAAGATAATGTTGGCAAAGCGGTCAGGTCCTGTCTCGTCCTGTCTGCCAACTGCCACTCACCTGCAGAAAGCCGTACTTCAGCTCCATGTCCAAGAAATTGTATTCCTTGGCGTGAGCAGGTCGCTGGGGCAAAGTGTTGGCCGCCGCCTGGGCCTGGCCGGCGCTTGCCGTTCCTCCCGCTGTCGGTGGCACATTGGGGTTCTCGTAGGTCTTCGACTCCTACACATCGAAAAACAATTAGTTATTTAATTGGCTTTTATATGATTTTATTAATTCCTTTTTCCTAAAAATATTTACTCCTTTGCTCTTAGTAAGAAAGGTAATCTTTCAAGCTAAAACCAAATTTTTTTCTGTGTAAATAGCCAAGATATACGACCTGGCAATAAAGAGTTAGGGTCTAATCCCTGGCTGAGCTGGCCGGGGTGGTCTTAAATTTTTGTTCTACCCTTGAATGGCTTAGATGGCAATAGCATGGCTCATGGCTTTAAAATTCCCATTCAGGGCAATGCATTTGATGATAAGCCATTCCAAAATCTCTCGTGTTTCTCTTTGTTTTTTTTTTTTCCAGCATGGCTTTCCCTTTTACCAATTTTTCGTTTGTTTTGTAAAGCAATTTGTTTTCAGGTATACGAGTTTTCAGTATGTAAACGTACATGTGAGAGTTTGATTTTTACCTTTTTTGCAATTTTCAATGTAATTTAACTCAAATCGACTTTTCTTGAAACTAAAAACTATTCAAAGGGTTCAGTTCGAAAGGGTTCTCTAGGTCTTTGTTTAGTTATTTTAGATTGTTTTGTTTTTGGCAGGAATATGGTAGTTGCTGTTTCGACTTTGGGGTTCTGCTGTTATTGTTTTGGCTTCTTTTTCAAGAGAACCGGGTTACAGTGTGGTACGAGAAGCATAGTTCTTAAAGAAGACCATAAGATACTAATGAACTCGACAAATTAGCTTAAATTTAATATCTCCTTTAGGTTTAATCTTAGCTGCTTTTATATATCTACTTATAGGTGATTTCTTCTAATTTGATACTTAATTCTAGTAAAACTACTAACCTAATCCCAAAGCTAGTGCTTTCTGGGATTTGCCAAAACTAAAGCCACCTATGCGTTGTGACACGCACTGTACGTGTATCAATTTCTGAGCCGTGCGGAGCAACCAGAGCTCTTTATTGACTCAATCCTGGCAGCGTAAACTTTCCCACATACACAAACCCACCAGCTCCAGCTCCAGCTCCTGCCACACACACACACACCCACCAACACATACCATAAGCCAGCACCCACACACAGACACGCTCCGGTTAATTCGATTTAGTTGTGTGCGAGAGCTAGCGTTTGTGTTTCTGTCATGCATACCCTGGCACGCCCACTCGACGCCCTCCCAGCTAGCAACTATTGTGCTGAAAGCCAAACTATGCACTTGGCTTGGCTGCAGAAACTTTGCCAAAACACAACAGTGGCAGAACGAAATGCCGCATCAACAGCAACAGCAGGAGTTGCAGCAGCAACAGGAGCAGCAGGAAACATCAAAGCATCAGCAACAACATGGGCAACAATCTAAATATTGTTCCGCAATACCTGCCCCACAAAACTAAAGTGAAAGATGAGCCTGGGAGGGTCTGTGAAAGTGCACTACGAATAACAATCTTTTCTCCTAATTTTGGAGTCTTTAAAGAATGAGAAATCATATGTACATCTCAGATATTAATATTACGTATACGTATTGCACTTTCAGCATTTTCTTTGGGTATTATTTAAAAAAGATTTATAAAATCCACAAAATTTTTAATTCTTTCCAGTGACATATCAAGAAACAAAGTACCACAGGCCTAACTCAATGTGATCCTGAAAGCCAAAACAGGCGACAACACAAATTGCATGTCCATGTCGCTGTCAGAAACTCAAACTACCATTGGAAATGGCCAAAATAGACCAGAAACGGTGAACAAAACTCACGTGGAAGGCCAGCACATTCGAGAGGCTGGCAAAGATGGGCTCGGAGGCAAAGGCCAGAGTGTCTGCATTCTCCTCCACCGTGTGATAGATTTGTAGTATCTGCGGGTTCAAACAAACAAAAAAAAAAGCCGAAAGTGAAAGGCGATTGGTCTTTTTGGGGGAAAAGTAATTAAAGACTGGGGGAGGGTTCTTTTGGGTGGGATATACACTCACCCTGGGATGTCGAAAGCGTTCCAAGGTCTTTACTGAACTTTTGAGCAACTCAGTTATGGTTTCCTTGCGTCGCGGCTTGTGCAGTTTCTCGGCAACTTTCTTCTCGAATATGAAGACGGAACATTCCTGAATTAAATGGAAACATTATTATTCAAGGTAAAACCTTCAGGATCTGCCCAGAAAGGGGTTCACATTCTAGTATCCAATTGAAGGATATCCCGAATCCCTCAAGCACTTACCTTGTTGTCACTCTTGCGGTAGGCGTCGTGGATGCGCCAGATCAACTCTGGGCCGGCACAGGCCACCGGCTTGCCGATTTCGAAGTACTGCGTAATGGGATTGCCATCGGCCACGTTCTGCATCGAAGTGGAGGCGGCCACGTTGGTGCTCTTGAATTTGGCAAACATTGTGCCGGCGGGCATACCATCGATTAGCTTTGAGAAGACATTCGAGAAGCTGCCCTGACGCTTTGGGCCCGGCGCCTGGACGGGCGGTGTGCCTCCGATGGTGGGCGCTGATCCGGCACTTCCACCAGCACTAGCTGGATCCCCAAGGGTGTTGCTAGTGGGATTGCCGGAGAGTGCACCTGCTGAACCGGTCGATGGGGAGGCTGATGATGCGATGAGTGGTGCAGCTGCACCTCCGATGGATAGACGTCCGCGGACGCTCTTATGGCTGGCTGTTAATCCCACGCCAGGGGCGACGACACTGGAGCCACTACTACTGCCCAATTGGCCCACCTGGCCATTAAAACCCTCGTGCCTGGAGGGGATTATGGGGGCGTCGGTGCCGAAGCCATTTATTGCCGTGGAATTGCTGCGCTGCTGGAGGAACACGGGGGATGAGGGACCACCACCGACACCGCCACCTACAGATATCTTGCGTTGCGGCAAATTAATGTCAAGCACTGTGCTGGCACTGCGCTGTCGTATCGAGCCCGGTCCAATGCCCAAGCCGGCTCCTGCTCCTGATCCCAGACCTGACACGCCCGCAGCAGCCACCCCGACACCGCCCACTCCACCCCCGCCTCCACCGATGCCGACAAACTGCTGCTGGCCACTTCTGGCCGGAGAACCTGCTGCCACCGCTGCCGCTGCCACCGTTCCTACGCCTGCCACGCCCCCAACCGAACCTGCTCCGGCTGCTGCCGCCCCTGGACCGCCAGCCGGCGTTATTCCGACAGCGCTGCCACTGCGACCGCGTTGCACCTCCTCGACACTATCCAAACGAGAGAAAATTCTGGCCGCCGTTGTTGCCGTCTTTGAAGTCGAATAACCAGGAGTAGTAGTAGCTTGTGGAATGTCCTGTGTCCTTCGTCCTTCTTCTACTTTCTTACTGCCTCTGGGGTCTTCTTGGAGTAGCTGTGTGTATGTGCTAAACGCTCCTTTCAAGTCCTCTTAGCCTCCTGCAAGAAGGAGCAGAAATAAACGCAAATTTAACTTTAATTGCGGCCACTTCACATTGCTCATACGCCCCGTTGGCCAGGCGACTGAAATGGCAATTAATGCGCTTACTGCTCGGCTTGGCTTTTGTGCTCAATTTATACACTCATTAAGCTTGAAGCAAAGAGAAGTTTTAATTTTCCACCGGATCCTTTTCAAAACGCCGTACGTCGTGATAAGTTAACAAGGAGACAGTTTATTTATAACAGCTAATTGTAGACTAAAGTTTATGAATTGAAAGTGCTTCCTATACAAATATCTGAATTATGCAACTAAAAACAGATTTATTTTGCATTGAAAACAAATGAAAATGCGAGTGGTTGGTCATAAAATATTTATTTAAATTTATTGTTGACCTCCACAAAGCTTCTTTAAATTTTACCAAAAATAATAATAGAATATCCGTATAATAATATAGAGAATATCCGTTTCGGTGGACACAAAAGCCATCTGTTAAAATTCCATTTCCAGCATTCTTTTGGCTTCACAATTAAAAAAGTTAAATGAGTTTGTCCCCGGACGAATTCGCATACGGCTGTGATTGTTTTTCCCGATCTGTTGGCGGCAACTTTTTATAAATTTATGAAAATGCGCTTAACTCATAATCTCTTTATTAATTGCTGAAAATTGCTGAAGCGCTAGCTGCGAGTTTTTATTCATTAATTTATGTATTTTTTTTTCGCCATTTGTAGTACATTTGTAGAACAAATTGGCCAAATGGAAAAATAATGCAATTTGAGTTGGAAAACATGTGTCAAAAGTGTCTGTCGCACGTGGCGGCGGCAGCTGACTTACTGCATTCACTGTGTGCCAGACTTTTTCGACTTTCCCCTCGAGGACCTGTCTGCTCCATTCGGAGCACATTCTTTGCGGACTGAATTATTCAATGCAAGTAAACATTTTGGCAGGATGCTCTCAAAGCATTTGTCGGAAAGCCGGAGGGAAGCCAACAAATCGACTTGAGACATCTTATTTATTTTTCCTGTTTCTTGTTTTATTTTTGAGAGAAGGAGAATAGCCAGTATAGGCAGCATACCCAGAGAAGGTATATAAATTTCAAGAAAACCGTAAAACTATTTAGCGAAAAACATTTACCGGCCCTTTGCAAAACGTAGCGTGAAATTTTTTCGTTAAATAAATTGTGCTGATGGTAAGTAAATAAAATATGAGGGAGCCGGGAAGCCAGTCGGCTGTATTGTGTGCTTAAAAGTATCTATAGCGGCGCGCCAACAAACAGGACGAGCCAGGACCAGAGGACGGACTGGCGACACCGGACACGGACTGATGAGGATGGCTGACAGATACTCCGGCGGAAGGCGAAAGACGAACGGCGCAAGGCGCAAGGCGGATTGGCGATTGACGGAGACGTGGCTTTCTAGGTCAGCATTTTGCAATTGGGGGCAAACAAGCTTAAATATTTAAGACGTTTAAGCAGGGCCGGTTGCCTTTCATGGGAATTCTATTTGTAAGCCCATGAAATTTATTCCAAGTTTTATTTTCATTTCCACAATCAGTTATGTACAAGTCAATTACCAAACGTAATTGATACCCAAACAAATATGAAAATGAAATTTAAATTATCCAAATAGATTCGCCTCAAGGCAAATGGGCTGTGTTTATTTTTGCCATTTAATTATGGCTTACAAAATTCCGTCATGCATTAAATCAAAACAAAATCAATTTAATTAAAACCTTACCCGAAGTATAATAAATCAAATCAATATATCACCATGAATAAAATTAATTTAATTTATTCCAATTTCATGAAATAGTCATTAAATATGTGACGGAAGGTTTTTTTAAGCCAGTAATGTAATATTTCGAGCTCATTATTTATAATTTTTTTTTCAGCCTTGCTTTGGATAATATGGAATATTTAATGGGGAATAAAATGGCCACGATATCTAAATCCATTGATCAGCCATTGGGCTCTAATAAATGTCATTTGGAGCAAGCTTTTGTTGTTAATTTTGATTTGAATTTTATAAATGCAGTATGAGGTGGTGCTGGTGGCTCTGAGAAAAGTTGGTTTTTCGTGGAACTGGGAGTGAAGAGTCGTTAATGCGACCAGCTCGTGGCCCGGACACGTGGACTCTCCGGGCTTTATTGATTTCGACATGGGCACGAACGCAAACTGAAGCAGCCAAAATTAAATGATAAAAGCGAAACGCAAACAAAAGTCTAACACGGAGATAAAATTATTAAATAATTCCAAAAAATATGGTTTATAGAAAAAATAAATAAATTGATAATTTAAAATAAAGGAAACATATCTATAAACTCTTTAAAAACTTTAACCTCGGGAAGCCAAGTTAATTTAAGGACTGATCACAAATCCTATATTTTTTTCACCGTGTCCGGAATGGCTAAGAGTCCGTGAATTATTTTTGGCCACCGTAGAGGGATTTTGCCGGCGCTTGTTGCCTTTGTTCGGTGTTATATTTGACAATTTCAGACACATAGAGGCATTGGGAATGAGCCAGCTTGAGTGGGTGGATTTTTGTTTAACAATCTGAGTTAAATATTTTTAGCCGAAAGTCAGATGAAGATGGGCACAAAGCGTACAACGAAAAGAGGAAAAGGAATATAAAGGAAAAACAAAAACATGTTGCCAAGTGAAGCGCTGATTGAAGACAAACACACAGACACATACACATAGTCAGAGTAACAGGAGCACGCACAGTGGCCAAAACAAACGATAAACGATGGCAGACACACGCACACAGATGTCTCAATTAGAAAAAAACAGACATGATGGTCCTTTGGCCATACACACAAACACAAACACACACAAGCACTGTCAGTTAAGGCAACTGTGGCCCATCTTTTGTTTGCTTTTGCCTCATTTATTGTTCGCCAGGCGAGAGGACAAAAGCCACTCACGCACACTGACAAACACAGTGAGAACATAAAGTGTCCTGAAATAGAGAATTTCTCCTTAAAGCTTAGACCATTAGTGGCAGATTTATAACAAAAATTTAAACTGGAAAATAAAGAATAAATTTTTAATAAATTTGAAACAAAAATAACATCGTTTGCACTATGTACTTTTTGCCAACTGTAGTTAACAACGTACTATTATCTGTTAAGGGCTGTCTCTTGGAGACCCTAGAAACGAGAAAATGTTACTCCCCAGTTGAACTCATCTACATTTTCCCTATTTTTAGTCGCAGGAAGCTGCAGGAATATTCATTGCTTTGGGCCAATTCCAACTCGGCTATTTGCAACTGCTGCGGTTGCACCTGCTGCATTGCTAATTACCTCACCGAAGTAGAAGCTGGTAATAATCCGAAGCCATTACCAAGGGTCATTTTTTACACACTCTGGCAAGGAGAAGGACACGGTAGATGAGTAGATAGAGGTTGGAGGTTGGAGAGTTCAATACGCGTCAAGAGCAATGTCCTGGCTCATCCCTCCTTGGAAAGGACCCTTGGGCAGAGTGCGCACATTTGCATATTACGTATACGGCACGTGAACGTGCCCAGGGAGCAAGGAGCTTTTGCCATTGCCATTGCCGTTCCCGTTGCTCCTGCTGTCACTGAGGCATTAAGACCGCTTAATTAAATCTTTTGCGTAATTTGTTTAGTTATCCTCGACAGTATCCACTTGAAAATTGAATGGAATTGAGTGGGGACAGCCGCGGAGCAGTGGGACAGAGATGGAGGCCACGGGGCGATGATGCAGAGCCAAACAAAAGCTGCTTAAGCATTTGGTTAAGTGTTGCCGACGAGCGTTCATAATTGAATTGAATTGTGGATAAATGCCAAATGCAACTCCAGCACAATCGATGCGTAATTATGGATCCGTAAAGGGGACTTTGCTAAACGGCTTTCAGACCAAAGTTACTGGCAAGCAGAAGCTTAACCCAATTACAAATGTTCGCAATCTGCTAGATACCCGAGAGCAAACTACAAACAGAGCCGAAGAATGGGCAATTAGTTTTGGGCAAGAGTTGCTTTTGTTATTCTTATGCGTGCGTGAGCACAATATGTTGCCATGTTTGGCTTGGCGGATTAATTGCCGGCCAGGCCAATATGCGTCAAAGTCAGGCTCGAATGCCACTGGCCACCGAGTTACTCTGTGTTTCGGTAATATGCTCTCTGGCTTCAGCATCTGGCTCTGAGTAATCAGTTTTCAATAATGCGGCTCTATCCGGGTATTTAACAGCTTAAGTCAGAAGCAACAGACGTGTTTACACGCTCTGCACCTACCTACCTCTCGTCCTCCGAATGGCGGAAGGATACGCCAGGATATGCGGGGCGAAAATCCAATTTGATAGCTTATTGGCGATCACGCAACATGAATTTTAATTGGCCAGCGCAGTATGCCAGAAATCACATTTATTGCAATTTAATTTGATATCAATATGGCGGGATTAGATGGAGAATTAATGATACGATTTTTCTTTGAAATATGGCTTTATTACTGAGATTTACTTGGTTATATGGTCTTTAATGTTACTTTAAAGGACCTTTCATGTTTTTGAAACTTAACAATTAGCTGATTGCTTTTGTTCTTCGAATAATTTTGAAATTAATTTCAGCCTTTCAACTTCAATTTGAAGTGGTTACATTCGCAATTTGCATTTGTGCCAAAAATGTTTGTGAATTCCTGACAGTTTGGTGGTAGAAGTGCCACAACAATTTTTGAGATTTCATTTTTGGCCTAAAAGCCGCACAGGCAAAGCATCCTAATTAATTTTGTGTACCCAGCCGAGTCAATGGCAAAAATAATTTTGCCGTTTTTGGACGACAATGAATTGCAAATTGTATGGTGGGAAATACATTTGTGCAATCGAATTGCGAGGGCGTTTAGTGAGGGAGTGTGCCAAAA